TTTAAGACAGGTAAACCTTAAAGCCCAGTGTTTCAGAAAATTTAAACACAAGCACTAAACTGTATATGGAAACAAGCTGGCAGTCACAGTAGATGATGAAACAGGTGTAATACGCAGCCACTGAGTAACAAACACCTTGAAGTAAGCAGCCCACTATGCTCCCCACTAGCTGACATTTCTAAATGCACAATTGTGTACTGTGAAAACAATATTGTTATAATGTAATCTTGAGGTGAAGAGGAGATAGGCAACTCCATGGAGTCTGTATCTGAAAAAAACCCACTGTGATTATGCTAGGCACAGATGAAAAAAATGCACTTAGCTATTGCTGCCTACATGAATGTGTGCAAGTAGGTGGTGGACTACAAGGTGACTCACAGCAACTCTAAATTTGAGTAACAGATAGATACCTTCTCTCAAATCAAACATATCTGTTATTTCTTGATTTTCCCCCTCAGTCAAAACCCATAACTAGAATATTTTTTCTAGGTTCTGATTAACCAGACTAATCCTCCTCAAACTCCGGTCAATGTCAGACCTGAGAAATCCCAAATTCAGTAAGACATGGAATTATGTCATCTGTATATGAATGGAACTGTCTTCATCTACCTCTTTACCTAAGAAGCAAAACAAAAGAGACACTGCTGTAGAAGTCTTCCTCTACCATAAGAAATGAAAAAGCTTTTTTCAATATTAAGGACTAAGGATACTCTGGAAAAGTATCAAAGAAAAACAATTTATTCTTATCAGCATTCAGGACACATGGCATCTTTATCAATTTTTTTCAGGACTACTATGCAAGCTTCTGAAACCAGTCATTACCTATTAAATATGAACTAAAAAAAATTTCAGCAGCTATGAGCCACATTCAGTGGCAATACACATGCTCTTTGCCCTGGACTAGATGTTAAGAACATTAGTTGTATTGGGGAAAACTAAGAATTCCAATGTGGGTTTTATATAGGAGAAGAATGATTTTTCAAGTAATAACTGAAGAGTAAATTTACTGGATTTGAAGATTACCTGTCCTTACATATTCTGCTAATGATTTCAGACTTCACTTATTTCTTAAAAGATATTTCAGCCAAGCTTTAAAGTAACACCCAGAACTCTGTTCTTTAGTGACTAAGATCAATATTCTTCATCCTACTGTGTGATGAGCCAAGATACAATCTTAACTTTATTGACCAAATTAGCACTGGCACAGCTTGTATAGAATATATATTCAGGAACCCCTAAAAGCAGACTGTATTGATATATTTCTTTAAAATCATGTTATGAACTCTACTACTTGGGACAAAACTAGAATACATTAAGTAGACAATTATTTGTTTCAGGATTATTTAACTGGTTAAAAGATATTTCCTTATGCTTATTTGAAAGATGTATTAATAAATTACTAAAATTCAGTGTTTTACTGACTAATATCTCATCTTAAAGATTTCAAACCCTAAATGGAAAAAGCAAACAAAATAAGGCAAGAGGCGACAAGTTCAGGGAAGTGAGAGATAGGAGGGTATTGATGGGCAGACCAAAGAAATAGGAGAGTGCTAAAATTCCTATCAGGGAGCTGCCATTGGACCCTGCTTGTGGAAGCATTTATAGCTGCCTTTGAAGAGTAGAGCAGTTTCCTAGTAAATGTCAAGCTGTTCTCTCACAATTGCCTCTGGGTACTGGGGAAGGGGCAAAACGTTCTGTGTATTCTCCTGTCCATACTAGAATTTCCTGGCTGCTGGAAGGGTGGGATGTTGTTTTTGCTGCTCTGCCATTTCTTTAGTTTCCTGGATGCTGCAGTAGTAATATTTCTATCCTCTATTCTTGATTCTCCTTCCTGTTTGCTAGAGTTCTGGCCTGCAATAATGAGCTTAAATACCTGCCTCTGAGGTTGGTCAGAAGTTTCCTAAAGCAACAGGAAACTGAAACGGACTCAATTCTCTTTAGTTCCATGCCTTAATACAGAGTTCTGAAGAACAACACTGAAAGCTGGGTGTAGTTGTGCCAGTTTTCACAATTCTCTGATGCTGCAACCTGTAAGAAAACTAGAAGCAGCAAATGCACTCAGGCTGGTAACAGATTCTGAAAGCATGCTGGATCAGCTGCACATAGTTCATATTTGACAATATTGAGTTCCTATACAAGAGTAACTGAGCTTTCCAATGACTGGGCTACATTCAAATAGTTATCAGAAAAAACAAATAAAAGAACAACAAGAAGCTTTTGAAAGAACAAACTTCCTATAGTTTTTCTTCCTACGGAATCCCCACTTGTTCTAAGTAAAGATGATCAATGAATTGGTCAGAAGCCACAACAGAACTCAGTTCTCTTGCCTCGCAATCCTAACTACCATAAACATGGCATCTGATGAAGTAAGCTGTAGCCTACAAAAGCTCATGTCTCTCTGAACGAGGTAGTCTACAAGGTGCCATACTGCCCTGCCTAACTGCAGACTCTCAAGGCTAACTAATTTCTCTCTACTGTAAATACTGGTAGTTAACTCGAATATATAATATGGAAGATATGCCTACCCTATCTTCACATCTTTGTTCTAAGCCTGGTCTTTGGACCACACCTCCTGAAAAACTTTCCAGAATGACAAGTCCCAAAGCTGAAAATGCTAGCTAGATGCAAGTTTAAAGGTACTATATGTAAAATTAACCCTGGGAATGAGCACTCCAGTCGCAGGGAGTTCTTGAATGAATATTTGGAAGCAAGGAGAATTCTCTTTGGTCGTCCTCTCCACACTGGATAGTTCTCACTACAGAATTTATAGAGCAGTACATTGTTTCTGAGATACGAAGAATACTTAGTTCTCCTGTGTCGATTTGAAAAGCAACTTAAGTGTTACCAAGAGCTTGCAGCGGCAGGTGAGAGGGTAATGACTGTACATTTGAGAAAGCAAAACTGAAGGATTATGTAGGAGTTTTCAGTCTTCCTCAGAAGTGACCTCACCTGCTCCAAAAAAATCCCTCCTGCTTTCACAGACAGCATGGTAATGAAAAGGTTTGTTCTTGGAGCTCTGAATAGCTTTCTCATTACTACTCTCTAGGTGTGGTTCACATTTAAAGTGACATCCTTCTGCCTCCTTTTAAAGTTTTCATTCAACTGAAAGTGCAACAGTGCCACTTTCTCTGTCTCACTATTAAATATAGACCACTATAATATGAAGAAGATTATAATAATGTTGAGGTTGGGGGCTCTTAGTTGAAAGAACAACAATGCTCAAACATATCAAGCACCAAAATCCTCTTGGACAAGGTGACAATTACACAAGATATTTCTCTCAGTGAAAGTAAGATCCCTACTGTATAGCTGAAAGGTGTGTTTTTAAGGTCTTGTGGTCCAAAATAAAGATATGCAGGAACCTGCACCTTGCCAGGGAATTGATAAGAAAACTCAAGAACCATACCTGACAGGAATAAGAGCTTTCTACAATGTAAAGTACTGCCACTCACTTATTTTTCCAAAATGTATTGGTCATGAACAGTAGAAGATCCTTTGCTTCAAATGACTATGCTCTGCCATGTCCCCATTGTCACAGCAACCTTGGATTAGCCTAAGCATCATTTTTTAATTTCCTCAGAGACACTAGAAGGGTGTTTATTACTACAGGCAGTCCTTGACTTACAATGTTTCGAGTTACAACATTTCTAAATTGACACCCTGTTCCAACTTTCTGATGTCAGTTTCGAGTTTACGATGCTTGATCCGACACCACACCATGCCAGCAAACAAGTTTGCTGTGTTGCCCATCTCCCTGGAGAACATCTGTCCAAACTTCCTTGGACACTTTAAGAAAGCACACAAGACTCCAGAAAACCTGCAGCCAAGACTCTTGAGAAGACTCCAGCCAAGAGCCCTTCAAAAAGTCCAACCGAGCCCTTCAAAAAGAGCAGCAAAGTCACCTCAAAGAAGTCTTTCCAAATCAATATGATGGCTATTTACAATATAAATACCTTAATGTAGCTATATTACTCATCTATAATTGATTGAGTACAAAATTCTGGGTTATTTTTGGTGAAAATAGGGTATCAGGCCTTGGTTCAGGAACCAATCCTCCATTTATAACATGGCTTCCTATGGGAAAATCGGTTCTGAGTTACAACGTTTTAACTTAAGATGTAGTTTTCAGGAACTAATTGTGTTGTAAGTCCGAGGACTGCCTGTACTTTAAAATCTGTGATTAAAGTCCCTACCTCTCACCTTCCCAGATATAGAGCTATACAGCACTGCATACTGATGCAGAAATAAGTCCCTGTTGTACTACAGTGTTTGTATATGGGAGCTGAGTGGTGTTGGACTGACAAAAATGGTAGAATCAAGACCTGAAGGTTAATTAAAAAAATATAATTGCTATTATAATTGCTACCTGTTCTTTATTGGCTTCATTGGTTTTTACTCTCAATAGTTTGGGAGACAGGGCTACATAAGATTCAATTTGTAGGAAAAAGGACCACCACATCCACTTCTGAGTGGATCTTCTTCATTTAGCATCTCCTTTGGATTCCCAAATGAACAAGGATGTCAAAAGCTTTATCAAGAAGCTGCCAGCCTGGGCTGCGGTGAACCACAAGACTAAGTGATCTTGTAGGCATTCTCCTGGTTCTAGATTTATACATACAAAGCAAAATGAAGGTGTACCTATAGCAAGTGCTACCATCATCTAGCTAGCATGAAGGACAACAACGAAGAAGGGGATAATGCCCGTAAAAGCTGTCCAACACGGAGGGGACCAAGAACATTACTGTAAGAGACTGCTAGCCAAAATCCATTTTCTAAATATTTGGAACAGGAAACAACTTTGAGTTGGCTAAAAGAACCTTTAGAGTTGTTTAATATTTCAGAATTAATTATCTGCAACAGCCATATTCCACTTCAGAATGAATTTGGGCATATTATTCTGCTTTTGTCTTACAGCGCTGTCACACTTTGTACACTTTGCCAAATATTTACACTGCTTTCATAAAAATCTCATTTTGATACAATTTTACGTGATCACTTACCAATAACTTTAACAAAATAAGCATCGGCTTCAAAGTTATTCTTTAATGCGTGGATGGCAAAGTCCTTGCCGAAATGCCCTTTGCTTAACACAATAATATCCAATATTCCCTAGGGGAGGAAATTAAAAGGAAAGAATAATCCATTAAAATAAGTAACATCTAAATACAGCAACTATATAACCTAAAAAAAAATTAAGAAAATTTGTGCACCTAGCAATATTTATAAGATTCCCAAATACTGTTCATCTCATACTAATCATAAATCTAAGTCACTTAATTTGATAGTTCTATATAATGAATGCGTGTGGTTTTCCTTCCTCCTTTTCTCATCCCAAACTAGAGGAGAGTGACCCAGGTACAGATTCAGAGTACCTTTCAGAATTCTAAGCAATTTTTTGCCTTGAGTTTTCACCACTGTTCACTGCCATGTACTCTTCTGAAAGTAAGCCATGAATCCCTCTGGAACCTAATGGTAGCTGGACAGCAAAATAACATCCTTCCATAATCAAATTTTCTTAGAAGCCGCATCACTCAACTTTAGATAAACAAATGGTAAAGCCAGTTGAAAGCATTAACAATTTGCATGTGAAGTAGTTACCATTAAAAAGATACTGGAAATGCTTGGGTAACTGTAGTTTCACTTGACAAATTCTGAATTCTTAAATAACTTCTCCTCTATATAAATAAACACATATCCATAGCTATTTTTTAGTTGAGCCAACACAACAATAAGGGCTTCTTGCATTTCAAACAGAAATACCTCCAGATTACCTGAGTCTAGTGAAGCTTTTCTTTATTAATTTTTGCAGGGACTGGAAAAAAAACAAAAACAAAAAACCCAGAGAAAACAATATTGGAGTGGGTAAGGGGAAATATTATTTACCCATTTAACTATGCTTGCGTGTGTGAGATCAGATGGCTGTGAAAATACTCTGCTTATAAGCAAACATAGTATCTCTATGCAAAACCTGCAGATGGAATTAGTTCTGTTTTACTTATGAGTAGAAGGGTTGGCTAGGTGAATAATCTGTAACTACTTAACCTGAGCAAAGGAAGGTGAAATCTGCCTTTAACTCCAGGATCTTTAAACTGGGGATGGGAATGAAACCAAACTCCAGCACATTTTTAACCTGAGTTGAAACTAATCTGGAAATGGATCTTGCTCAAAAAGTTTACTGAAGGGGTGGAGGCAGGGGTGGAAATTACTGAAGATACTCATTGTTTAGAGTAAATGCAACTGAAAAGACAACAAACCCAACTCAGAACACTGGCTTGGGTTTCTCCCACAATCCCCCCCATTTTTGTACAGATTGGTATACCTAAATATCCCAGAGCTGCCTAAAAAGAAAGGAAGAGAGCTGCATTTAGATACATTAAACTGCAGAGGGAAATCAGACATACACACTGTCTTGGTGAGTTGCAGTGGGTGCTGGCAGGTGTTCAAACTTAACCTGTTATTCTCCTAACAGCTGCTGAGGAACAGCTCAGTACTTAAGGAATATGGTAAAGGTTTAAAGGAAAAATCTAATTTAAAAAAATGGTAACATCTGAAGTGTCATTTAAAAAACCCACAAAACCTTACTTTGAGAATTCCTTATTCTGAATCTGGACAGACATAACAATTGTACTGGTGTCAAGGGACTCTAATACAAAATGTAACAATGAACTGGTAAAGCAGCCTGATTCTGCAGCGATACAAATGTAGCAAAACAATCCTAACCTCACTTTATCCAGGGCAAAGATAGGGTCAACTGGCTCATTTGTATTACTACAGCAGGGATGGGAAATTATTTGGCTGGAGCTCACAGGGCTCCAGCTCCTGCTGCCTTCCATTTATTCTGACCTATTCTGCTTGGTGTGATGAGCAGCCACTGTGGGGGGGCTGAGTGGGTGGACAGTGGCAGGGAGCTGCAGCTGGAGCTTCATGCACTGGCACAGGAGCCACCCAGCTACAGCTTTCCCTCCCTGGCCTGGCTGGGCATGTGGTGCCTGGCACACATCCACATGGCTTCCCCACACTACCTGTTGCATAGAGTGGTGTAGCAGGGGCAGGAGGTGGGGGGAACGGAGCAGTACCTGGGTGGTTGCAATTGCATTGGGAGCAGCCTCATTGACAAGCTGCATGAATTGGCTTAGGCTGGGGCCACAGGCAGGTGTGCATAGGAGTGTGGTGCGGGTAGCCCCAGGTGGGAGCAGGCTGGACTTGGCCCTGTGCGGAGCACTGTGGAGGCAGCCATGGGCTGAATACAATCAATTGGCAGCTGCACGCCTATGGCTGCACTCCAGGCTCACACACATATAACGGTTGCATCAGCTAGGGGTGTGCATTTGATTTGGATTTGGCCTAAATCAGGCATAGTGATTTGATTAATTGATTTGAATCACTGTCCCCGATTCGATTCAGATGAATCCGAATCTGAAGATTTGATGCTGATTCAGAGAATCAGCGATTTGGCCATAGACACAGCTTTAATTGTTTTTTCTACATACCTCGAGGTACCAGCATGGCTTGTGAACGCTATGATGCTGGGATGCAAGGAGCATCCCACAGGAGTGTGAGGGGGCCTTCCACATGCTCAGTGGCGAACCCGGAAGTACTTCCAGTCCACTTCCAGATCCACGGGGGAGCGCGTGGGGGCACCCCCCATGCTCCCCCGGCTCAGTGATCGGCCGCGGGGAGATAATGGGTGCCCCCCCAGACCCAGGAGGCACCAGTTGCCAAGCTGGAAGGGGAGGGCAGTGGGCCCCCCAGCAGACCTGGAAGTGGACTGGAAGTGCTTCTGGTCCACTTCCAGGTCTGCTGCTGAACATGCTGGGGAGCCCCCAGTGCTTCTGTGGGACACTCCATGCGCCCCAGCATCACAACATTCACGAGCCACCTGCTACCTAGTGGTATGTAGAAAAAACATTTAAAACCGTGTCCATGTCCAAATCGCCAAATTTCTTCAAATCAATTTGGAGGGTTCCGATTCGATTCTGAGAGATTAAAAGGTCCTCTGATTCGATTCGGAGATTTGGCCACCGAATCGGGCTGAAAATCCACCGAATCGAATCAGGGACCGAAGCTTCACACAGCTCTAGGAGCAGTTCCCTCTTCTTTTAAAGTGGCTACAAATGTCACTGTACCTTATGTAGCTCAACCAGGATAGACACATTGAATATAGTTATGGAGGGACCTTATTACTTTACCTATCAAATTAGGGTGAGTCACAACTCTGACCCTAAGCGAATCAGAAAAAAGAAATACAGATCTCAGAAACCTGTATTTCCAAATAAGGACTGCTTACAATTTATAGCACAAGAACACATGCTTTGCCTGCAAGTACAGGTTATATATTTTCATACACAAATGGCTAACTAGAGCCATAAAACATCCACAAGTAACGAGGCATATCCGATTTTTTAAACCAGGTCCTTTATTGCAAGTGAGACTGGACTTGGACATTTTGGTTTGAAATTTCAAAAGAGAAGCAGCCAATTTTCCTTTCCATGAGACCAAAAACCTCCTGCTTACTTGAAACTGGGACCTGGACAACCAGGTTTAAGTCTGAGGTTTGTACCAAGATCTAATTTTGGCAGGAGTCTTTATTTATTTATCTAATTTTGCTCTTATAGGCAGGAAGCTGTATGGACAAAGTCATACCAATATATCTTTCATTATGTTTAAAAGGAAATATGTTAATTACATAAATTAACATAAAATAACTGTGTGCAGTAGCTGTCAGCTTTACATTCAACAAAAATGTCAAGTATTAAATTCTCTGTAAAATACCAGCTAAATGGAAAAAAATTAAAATAATTTTACCTTATAGAGGACAGCAAAAACTTAACTATTCAATTAGGCTTTACTTCCAGATAGGTGAAAGATGGAGGAATGAAGATGGTTTATTCAGGGGCTAGATGGACAGCATACTTAATGCATGAACTGTGATTAGTTTTGGGATTCAGATCTAGTCAGGGCATTGGGGTAAACGAATGTTTAAAAAAGTGGGAAAACTGTGTGGGGAGTAACATGGGGGGCGAGTCTGGTGTTATATGGGGACTGCGATGATCACAGTTAACTGTGAGCATCTGGGAAATTCAGTTGGGAGCTTGCAAAAAGTGATAGTTACAGGAAAAAGCACACTCAGTAGAAGGATTAGTGTGTTTCTTGCATAGTAAATGACAAGGCTAAAGAAACAATCTTTTACTTGCTCCGAGGTTTAGTATTAACTGTTAAATTATCTGACTCTAGTGATACTTTTCTCCCATTAGCAAATCTTTGCTTACTTGGTTTAGACAGCCATTTATAGACTACGGAGCCTTTATTCCTGTAGTGATAAAGTTAATGGCCTGGTGAAGCCCCTCTAGTTTATTTGCCTAGAAATATGGACAATGGAGGTTTTATAAGATGATAAACAAGCGTATGAAAGTTAATTTGCAGATGATACCAAGCTAGGGAGAGTAGTATATGCACTGGAGGGCAGAGCTAGGATTTAGAGAGACCATTACAAATTGGAGCATTGGATCAAAAAAAAATCTCATGAGATTCAACAAGGACATGTGCAAAGTCCTGTAGTTAGGATGGAACAAACCCCATGTACTAGTACAGGCTAGGGACAGAGTGGCTAAGCAACAGCTCTGCAGAAAAGGACCTGGGAGTGCAGTGGACAATAAGCTGAATATGAGCCAAAAAGTGTGCCCTTGTTGCCAAGAAGGCTAACAGCATACATGCAGTCCTCAGACTTATGACATAATTGGATCCTGAAAACCACATATTAAGTCGAAACACTGCAATTCAGGATGAATTTTCCCATAGGAACAATATTATAAATGGGTGATTGGTTCCTTTATGACGCTGGATATAGCTGAGACCAGCTGGTAAGTCTGGAAGGGAAGGGAAGGGAAGGGAAGGGAAGGGAAGGGGGGAAGGGAAGGGGAGGCGAGGGGAGGGGGGAAGGGAAGGGGCATGCGAGGGGCAGATCAATGCCCCTGCAGCAAAGGAGAGATTGGGGCTGGGACAGGGACTGGGGCAAGTGCTGCCCAGCCCGGGCGGGGATCATGCGGGACGAAAGCATGGCTCATCTGAGGGGTATGGGGGAAGAAGAGCAAGGTGGCTCCTGCTGCTGCGTGCTGCTGGT